GAACAATAAATTCTGTTTGAGCTGTCATTCAGTAAAGAATGTTGTTTCAATATGTGATATATACATATATTCAATAAACAAATTATTATGAAATTACACACTTTCACAGTGTTTAAGTTTCACGTACATGTTAAACTGCATTAAGTTTCACCAATATGAGAGAAAAACTTATTTAAACGTTTACTTCTAGAATCATCTTTCAGATCATATATCAGACATACTGAAAAATATTTTCCTCAAGGGATTTATGAACACTGTAAACTACTGAAGGATTCACAAGCTTAATAGTTGTTTAAAAATACTAGATTAGACCTAAAGTCAGGGAGGGATATTAAGAAGAGGTGAGTACAACTAAGTGGTTCTCAGAAAATATAATAGTTATAGTGAAAATTTGTAATATTTTACTGAATCATACATTTTCAGTACTTTAAAGTAAAATGGGCGATATTTTTTTGCGAAACTATGTCCTTCTGACATAGAATAGGAAAGCACTTAGATCTACGGAAAATTCTTTGAATGTTGTTGGAAACAGTTATTACATCACTTACAGGCCATAAATAGTAACTTATGAGGGCGAAGTGTAATTCTTTATAAATGTAAAGAGTATAGTATCTGATAAATTCGTTCAAGGTGCACAAGTGTGATGTAATTTTCAAGGCAGATTATATATATATATATATATATATATATATATATATGATCGTCTGCAGTCATGCGTAGGACGCATCTTTAACTTGAATTAAGCTGATACCTTGATCCTTCCACAGAGGTAACTACTGGTTTATTGAAAAGGACTACTAACCGCCACAAGAACTAATGTAATACCACTCTTTGTATTTATCAGGTTGAAAGTGCTCTCAAATAAACCACCTACATGTTTTTCTCCCAAAAAACTTTTCTACTTAAATCTACAATTGAATGAAGACTTTTTTCATGAGAAATACTGAGAACTTCCGTCTGCCCCCCTTACTGAACAAAACCTTCTTCGTGGCTGACTTTCAAGTAATTTTCTGTAAGAAAGCAATGGTTCACATGAAGGTGAGGGATGAGCTAACATTGCTGACCTTATTAATGTGCATCTACCAATTCACCTGCTCATGTGGAGCTAGGTATGTTGTTGGTACCCAACATTTGCTTTCCAAACGCATCATAGAACACTTACGTTCATGACTTTATGAAGGAGAAAAAAGATCCCGCTGCAGCTCTATCCTGGAATACTTGATCGAATCTGGACACCAAGCTAACCCACAAAACAACTTCAAAGTTATCTACAGAATACGTGGGAGTCTCGCGAAAAGAGTAAGAATCAAATTTCTTCAAATCTCAGATGCAATGACGATTCACATGTTTAATCCAGAGTCTTGCATGCAAAAGAAATTTTTTCGGTCATTAAATCTGTAATGGACCTGATCTATGTTAACACCGAATACATAATTCTTAGTTTTTGTTTCTTAAATATTCAATTGTATCAAACAGAGTTCTACATAGAGATAGTCAAATTAAATCACTTATTTTCGGAATAGATATCGTCAAAAACCAATCCCAAACGCTGAATCACTGAAAACCAGGGTGTATCGGCCAATTATTCGTCTTAGTTTAGAACTCTTTACCATTGTGTACTCTAAAATTCCACTCGGAATCAAGTCCGGGAGCATTAGGCTGCAAGGCTAAGTCGTCGAGCATTCAGCTACTTCAGTTAGAATTCATTGGCCCGTGAACTCTAATTTTGTCAGTCCGTAGTGCAGCCTTTTGGTCTTCCAGTGCCACTTATGTTCATCCATTTCGCCTTGAGATAGTTGACCCCACTTGACTGCAACTTCTCGTAACAACTTCAAGACATTCACCACTGACCGCCAATGACCTAGAAGTTAATATTTAGATTATGGATTTTGTAGGTATTTGGATTAATTCAAATGCTGAAGAGTCCTATACTAGGACAATGCAGCTGCTCAGTAGTTTCTGATTTTCAGTGATTTGCTAACGGCTGTTTTTTTTGTGATGAAATCTGCGTAGAAACTGATTAAAAACTCGCTATAAAAAACAATAATCTAAATAATTTTTATTTCCTCATTCTAGCTTTCAAGATATCTTGGTATTCTTTAGATGATTTTCCTACTGAGACATTGACTCTACTTCCATGTCTATTCCAGACCAGTAAGAAAGTTTTTTCCCAACTAATTACAGATAAGTGGTCTAGTGGATACCGCTTTGATTTTTGAAACTATGGGCACTGGGTTCCAGCCTCTGTGGGAACAGCATCATTCACTGAGCAATGCAGGTACAGCCAGTGACGAGTTCCCAATGGGACGAAATGCGCATCCTAGATTCCACTGCTTTGTGACCGTCCACCGATTAAGTACGTCGGTGCTACAGTGGTTAGGACGTTCGTCGACCTGCATATGGTCCGGGGTTCGATCCTCGGCCGACTCACTCCTTCGCCTCGCTAAGCCAGAAATAATGCTGGTAAAGAGGAAAGATTAGGCATCAGGCTAGCAACCCCATCCTGTCAAAATAAACACCACTGCTACAGAATCGCCAAACCACTAGCTTGAAGCCCTATGTTCCACTGGGAACGTGAAGGAAAACAAAATTACAGATAAAATAAAAGAAGTAATCAAGTTATTGGTTTCAACCAGCTCAATGGCAATATGATTATTTATTCATAAAAATGTTTTTTTTATTCATATATAATGAATACATCAAAATGAATCATATGCTGATCGTGTTCAGCAGATATTATTCACAGAGAATTAGTTGATGAAATAATAATTCCAGATTCTGTTATTTCACTTTTTCTTCTATATATATCCGAAATGAAAGTTATTTAACGCATATTTACAGACAAATGATTATAACGCTATGGATTTTCAAAACAGTGAATTATCTGAAAATATAGAAAACAAACGTATATGTGTGTACTTCAACATTTAATTGCAAAAATTCACAATATCTATCTGTGAAACACACTTGTTCTATAGTAGTTTGTTAATAGGGTATATTACACAGTGAAATAGTAGTACTTCCATACAGAAAAAAAGAAATCCTTGAAACTTTACGCAGAGTTATCAACAAAGTAGGAATAAAAGTGGTGTTTGAAAATCACAAGCTCGCTGACAAGCAATTATGTTGGCTAAAAGATACTGTAGATTCCATTCAACATAACTAAACCTTACAAACCAAAACTATAGAAAATTAATCTGATGCTCACTAGTGACTTGCTACAGGATGCAGTTTCCTTGAGTTCTAGTGAAAAGTCGTGACCAGTGAGGTCCCTCCAGATGTCACGTGTGAGGATGCATGTACCACCTACGACACTGGTTGGGGTCGCGCTAAATCACGAATTGGTAGAAGTTAGAATTCATGAGCCATTGAATCGGGTCCCAGTGGCTGAATGGTATACGAGCTTGCCTTGTAACCGGAAGGTCCTGGGTTCGAACCCTGGTGGTCGGTAAGTACTACTGATGATTCTCAAACTAGAATGAAACAACTGTTCAGTACTCCCTGGTTTTCAATGGTTCTCTAACTGATATCAATCCGTTGTCAACTTGTGAAAAAAAACAATTTAGTTTATCTAACACCTTAGTGGAATGACTTTTAGGTCAAATACATGGGTCAGAGTAGTAGAACAGAGTTAGTCAGACTAGAACAGCACAGAAACTCTAACAAAATCTAGATTAGCTGACCCTTATAATATAAGAGATTTAGAAAATACCTATAGTATAATATGCAACTGGATACAACAATAAAATAAGATGAGACAATATGAGGGCATTAAAATTTAATGTAAGAGAGTTTGAGGAAAGTTAATAACAGATGCTTAACTTATCGAATCAACTGAGAATACAAACAGTGGAAGTGATTCAACATCTAACCATGACATCTGCGATATTTTAATACCCTCATGGCACAATGAAAGTTTGCAGTTATGTAGCTATATTTATTATTATAATTATTATTGTTGTTATAATTATTATTGGGTTCCGAGTGGAAACTGATATGATTATGTACTATAAGTTCCCTGCGAAATGCCATCCGGTATGTAGTGCTGCTTTGTTGTGTGATTAATCCTGTGAGTCGATGGCACAGAGGTTAGGTTGCTTGCCGACCATGCGCATCGACCGAGGTTTGATCCCCGGCGGACGCACACCTGATATCAATGGTCGGCCTGCTAAATTTGGGCTTCCGATATCACATGCTGAAAATTTCATACTTGTACCAAAATACTGTGTGGAATCAAGCTGTAATCAAAAATTAAAAAAACCCAACTGAAATGTATGTGCACTCAGATGATGATGAGTCACAAAATGAGTTGATCCGTTCTGTCGTCAAAATGAGAATAACCAATTGAATATTAAGTAGTATTTAGAGGGTTTTAATTATGGAGAAAAAGTATCAGATGCATATCTTTAAGTAATATAGGATTGTATATTATTCAGAATTTTCTTCATTCTTTTGCAACCCTAATCGAATATATGGCTACAGATTTTTCTACGAGGTAAGATTGTTAACCTCATAATCAACCTTCACACTTATTCAGACTTTCTATCGGCTAGTAAATCAGGTGCAGTTCCAGAGTGCACCAGCTGGAAATGAAACCTGGACCTGTGACGTGAATGGGCAAAATTGAACCACTGGCGTATACCTTATTCAGAGTACTCAAAGAAATATCATATTCATATAAAATAAATCAATAAATAATTCTACAAAACCCAGAAGTGAAAATCCACTAAGAAACCTGCCACGATTTTATATATATTCGTATTTTCTTTCTTCTCATGTCAGTCTTTCTTGTGAGATTATTTCGAAATGGCTGAATGATTACAGCATGGATAAGTAAGTATTGAAACAAGAATTTCTCCTTGCTTACTTTTTTTGAAAAAAGAATAACTGACAACTCATATTTTAAATACGGAAATAAAAGTACCAGAATGTTGTACAAATTCCTGATATTTTGTTTGTTCCGCCTTGAATGCAATCTACTCAATTTAGGTGGAGATAAATTATGACCAGTTAAAATTGTTAGGCGATGATTGTAAATAATCGTGTACATGTGAAGCACATTCGTGTTTCTTTGGAATACTCATATTACAGCAACAATGATGACCAGGTATTATTTGAGATATTGATGCACTAAGATAAGGTGTAGTATTCCTATGATGTGGATTCCTATTACAATAAATAGAAATAGTAGAATTAGATATTTGTGAACAACAACAATAAACAGTTCGTTGTGAAACACATCTACATATTGTTGGATTGGATTTTGATAAGTACTGCAATTTTAAATTTGAATCTGTAGGATTTTCATAACTTGTAGTTTGACATTCTTGGCTATTTGGTTTAACAAACTGAAGTTTCAATGAACTGGTCTCAGGTTCATTAAACGTTGAAGGATATTGATTGTCATCATTAACAATATTACGATCACAAGTACATGGTGTCATTTGACAATTGCAGTGAGGGAAACTTGAACGTGAAATCGATTTAGCACGTGTATTGGTTTGACAATAATTGGCAGATGCTGGACATATATGATGTTGACTGCAGTAACAGTGACAGACAAAATGAACTCTTGATGGTTGACAACAATAACAACATGCCTTAAGATTGCTGCTTTCACATCTTTCAGGAAATGTACTTTGTATTTGTGAATCAGGTGAAGATGAACGCTTTTTATTGTCAGGAGTGTTTTTTAACCAGGATGGAGAATAATCAGCCTGATTTCTACTACGAGTTGGTGTGGAAACTTGATTTGCCTCCAATTGGGAAACTTTAGTTTCACGTTGATCCGTGTGAAACACTAGAGAGGAATTACCCAAAACTTTTTGGTGAGCAAATGTTGATGGGTCTCTTTTATTCATATGTACTTTTTCAGGGGAATCATACTGTAAATTTCTACTCAATGATTGTGAATCTTGTTTCGTTGGGACACCAAGTGGTAAATTTTGATGTATTTCAGACTTATCATCATATAATATGTCTAAGGAGGATTCTGTTGGGTTGATTGTCATTTCAAACTTGGTACTTTCATCTTCTTGAACAGGGTCTGCTAGTTTGTTTTTCTCTGAAAATTGGACGGACAGTTTTGCTATTAGCTGATTATTATCTGTCAGGATTTGAGAATCAGTTGTAGCATTCCATTTCACTGAATTAAGAGATACATTAGTCATAAGGCTTGATTTAAGCATTTCAGCTGATAGAATAGATGCTGTCCCATACTGACTAACATTTTCTGGAGGCTTATTCTTTTCCTCATCTTTATCTACTTTCATAGATGTATCAGCAGCAGTTTTGGCTTTCTCTAATATTTTATCAGCAGCAGGAACAGTCAACAAACCTTCATGATCAGAATCTATGGGAAGATTTGAATCCTGATGCCAGTCTGCGTTTTTTGATTTGTCATTTGTTTGATTCAAGCTTGTGCGAATAACAGCATCCTCTTGTTCAACACTTTCATTTAATTCTTTTTGAAGTGAACTGGAGGTAGTTTTCATAGAATCTTGTGACTGTATATCTTCGGAAGCAGTATCGTATGGCGTTGGATGATGGCTTTTCACTCCACTTTCAGAAACATTCTCTTTCACTGGTGTGCTGATAGGATTAATTTCTAAGGATTTTGGGCTTTCTGTACCTTTTAGTGGAGCTAAGCTTTCTGCCTGTTCTTTAGAAACAACTTGTTCTACTGTTCCCATGGTGCTTAGGTTGTATTTATCCAAGCTTTCTTGTGAATTTTGTGAAGCAAAAGAGGATTTAGATTCTTGTTTCAGTGAATTGGTGTCGACATTTGGTACACTGACTACCTGAAACTCTCCAGATAAAGTTTCGGGTGGTTTCAACTGTGTTTCTGTAGGTGATATACTGGTAGGCTTACATGTAGACTCTTGTTCTTGGCTTTTCATTGATACAGGTAATATGTGTTTTTGTTCGCTGCACATAGTTTTTTCGCTTGAAGAAACAGAATCTATGCTATTCGTCTTATCTGTTTGCGCTGTCGATACTGAAATCTCTGGTTGAATAGCATTCTCAAGTACATCAGTTTCAGAGGGGACAATCGACTTCTGTAATTCAGTTTCATAGGAATCATCTGTAATTTTCATTGGATCCACTGCTTCTATCTGTTGGATTGGCATGTTAACTGGTGTAAACTGTGCACTTAAAGGTTCAGTATTTACCTCCTTGTTTGGCAATTCATGATCTTCATAGACTGATACATCAACGCCTTCATCAGCATCATCACATTTTTCATCGTTCCTGTTTCCTTCAACTTTACTCATCTCTATTGACTGTCCGGATTCTGAATACTGAAAGTTCGGTATATTTTGGAAATGGTGTGTACCTTCAGGAGTTTTCACAAGGCTTTGAACTGTAAACAACTGGATTTCTTTACTTGGTCTTTCAGAAACAGCGTTGGTCGAATCTACCTCTTTATAGAATGTAGTGGTAATGACAAGCGCCAAGGGCTGATTGCAACTAGACCTATTGCTGGTGGGTATTTTCGAAACATTGTTCCCCTCGTTTTTCAAAACAATTTGGTCTACTTTCTGCATTTCAATATCTTGTGCCTTATCTTCCGATTCTATGGACTCTAATTGATTACGTGTATCCGTTTGCTCTGCAATCATGGGGGTATCTGGCTGATTAAATTCATTGATTGATGAGGCTACATTCTGTGCAGCAAGTGGTTGTAACTCATTTTCAGACACAATCTTTTCAGCATCGATAGGTTCACCTGCCTCCGTTGTTTGCCCATAGATATTGAGTTGAGTAAATTTGGAAATTTCTAGTTCACTGCCTACTGGCAAATAGGATACCTCTTGGTTTTTAGGTATTTGATCAGTTGTTAGATTCTGACGTAAATTACTGGACTTTTCACTTCCAGCCAAATGAGTACTATATATTTCTACATCCTGATGTGTACGCTGTTCGGAAAATGTTGGAGGTACCTGAGTGATATCAGGTACTGAGAATGAATCAATGGAAATGATTGTAGGTAACATGGCTTTTTTGGGTAGATCAAGAGAAATACTAGTGAGGCTTGGACACTTTTGTTCGATAATCAGATGAGGTTGATCATGACGACTTGATTCATCTACATTAGTCGTGGTATATTCTCGTTTTGATGCAAACTCTTCTGCATGTATATTATCCTTGTCTGTTTCTTCGCCTAATTCCCTGTCTCTTTCGTCTTTTTCAGACATACCAGCTCCATAAACCTCTTTTTCATGTGGTTCTGATATTTCTATTTCAAGCTCAACACTCTTCACTGGTGTAGTAGTTGATTCTCTAAAGGAAAGTTTCTCAGGAAAAACTTCTTCTTTTGTATGAATATCATCTTCATTATCTTTATACTGTTGTTGAACAACGTCTTCATTTGTAGAAGGTTGTTCCTTAAGTTTTAGATATTCGCCATCTGTATCATCGAATTGTGCAATATGCGATGAAGTGATGTTATTATCTTCAGCTACATCGTCGATTGGTGGATGAGCTTCAAGTGTTGTCATTGTTTGTAGTTGATTGTTGGGTAATTTAAGTGAAATCTCCCTATAGCTGCCCCTATGAATAATTGGTTTTATTGGTGTTTGACTAGTTATTTGACAGCTGTCCAACACCATTGACTGTACTGAATCAACAGCTAAGTTAGTCCATTCTTTATTGCTTGCTGTAAATTTCATCTCCACATCTCTTGGTTTTTGATCAGTGATAGTGAGAGAAATAACAGAGGTTCTACGAATAACAATCGCCCCAGAATAAACTGCCACTAATTCTTCTTGTGCTTCAACAATCTGGTTGAAGGCTTCAGTTTTACTTTCAAAGTAAGGTTGCACGCAAGGTGTTGTGTCATTTGAGGGAAGCTGTAAATCACTGTCAGATTTCAGCTTATACTCACTATTTTCATGACTGACCTGAATTTGTTGTGGTAATTCTATAGGTTTTACACTGTCATTTACTTCAAATGAATTAAGTACATGTGAAGGTAAACTTTCTTGAATGTCCTTGTTACTAGTAAACTCTGAAATTAATTCTGTTGATATATCTTTGATTTCATTTGGTACGAGTGGTGCGACAGCATCATTGAGTATTTCATTCCCTCCATCAAGTTTTTGATGTGATACTGACGTTTCTTGTCTTGAAAATTGAGAACTCTCCTTACTACTGGTGTGATCGTTGATTGCTTCGTCATCAGTTTTATTCATAAGATCCTTCAAGTCACTGCTAACAGACTGAGGAGTATAAGTTGCTTGGATCTCATCATTCACAACACTTGCATGCTCTAGGTTTTCAGCAGACTCAATGGTACTTAAAATTTGTTGAGACTGTTTCTGTTGTTGTTGATCATCATCATAGTCTTCGTGAGTCTCACTGTTCAACTTCAGATCTTCATACACTTCATTCTTGTCGTCTATTTGTAGACCCACAGCAGTGAAATCATTATCATCAACTTTACTCTCCACATTGATTACTTCTGTTAATTCAGAAACTCCTGATACAAGAGATGATTTGATACCAGATGACTGTACCACATTGGTTGATGTAATTGCACTATCTTCTTTCAAATCATTTCTCTCCACTACTTCACTAGACATTATTTTATATTCATCCTCAACTGAAATAGAAATTTTCTGTTCGAATTCCGGTTGCTCTTGTTTTACTGTTTCTGGTAAATTTTGTATTGAACCAACCTGATTCTTAGAATCAGGTTTACTGATTAAATCTTTTATATTATCTTCTTGTGTTGAATGATGTTTTTCTAAGTCAATTTTAGAAGGGATATTAACACTAGATTGTTGTGTTTCATATTTATCAGAATTTCGAAGTGATTTACGATGAATAACAGGAGATATTGTAATATAAGTTTTACTTGATATAATTCCAATATCATGATCTACATCTCTTGACCATTGAGTAATTTCATGAAAATTTTCCACTAAACTTTCAATATGAATATCAGAATTAGCTTTTTTAACGCATTTTTTTTCAAAACTAATTGTTATATCAACTTCAAGTGATTTTCCAGGTCTTATTTCTTTGGATGATATGCATTTTACAAACGGCTGTTGTGTGGATGATGCTTCACTGGTAGCAGTAGGATTGGATGATGATGGTTCAGATTGTGAACGATTCTTGTTAAGTGAAGCTTTTTTTAATGCCATTTGAGTCACTGTGAATTATTATAAAATGTAAATAACTATCTTAGAATGTAATTTATTGTTATGCAATACACCGTCAAAATAATTAGATCATTATTGTTCATCTCATTAAATTATTTAACACGACAAAATAACTATCTATGCATTAACAAGGCGATGTCTACATAACAGACTTCTCAAGGTTGACTAGGTACATTAGATAATAATTATACTTAAAAAATCGATATCTAGCATTTTAAATTCGCTCTATAGATGTATAAATCACAAATAGACTGTTGACTTGTTAAATGAACATGAATGCATATTAACAAGTTTCTTTGCCTCTGGAATACATGAAATTGATTTCCCAGCGTTTTATTCAAAGATATCATTAACTGTTGCAGAGAAAGCTGAGTATATTTTCATAAATGGCAGGTTAGTTATTACTTACATCTAATAAAAATTATGTGCACACCTTTTTTGGTATATTTCTGTCCTGGAATAGTTACTCATTCCTTGGTTTGAAGTATATTTATATACAATGAAGATTTCAGCTCTTTATCGTTGATTACATTGATGATTTTCTGAAGTTTGGTAACCTTTACGTAGATGTGATGTACTCACAAGAATAGGTAATCCTATGGGAGTAATTATTATGAAATTAACTGCAAATTCTTCCCTACAAAGGCATACTTAATATGCATGAGATTTCGTACTTTAAGGGGACAAATCTTAATTAAAATAATTTCTATCATTAACTACAAAAGAAAAGTAAATATGCCATATTATATCCTTGAAGTAACCATTTTAGAATGATACATATTTTGTTTATGATTATCAGTTCGATAAATCTCGTTTCTGAAATTTTGGTTGGTGGTTGCTAGCTGTGGAATTCAGGTCGAACATTTCGTCGCATTCAGGACGTGCCTGCTGGATATATCTTTAACTTCTTTGAAAAATGATGTTCATATTGAGACTCGAATCCTGCACCCGTTGTTTCAAACGCCAAAGCACTATCATCCAGGCTAAATGGTCGTGACAGCCGCCACTTGTGTAACAGATAACAGTTATTATTGTTTTATTTAGTTTGCATTTCCTCTTGTAAGATTATGTTAGACTCAGAAATATTTGTTTTATGTAAATATATCAGTTCCTAGTACAGACGCCTCGACGATGGGTGAAGTTCAACATGGCGCTATTTTGGTTGTTGTTGATAGCAGTTTTTGACTCTCAATGGAAACAGTCATTCAGGATGCATGTATATTCAACTGAGAAGTCTCAAATAGGATAAAATGAGTATCCTGGATCTCATTGCTAGTCGCCATCAAGCAAAATAACATCATATTAATCTTTCGCTGCCTTTGAAACGTCCATACTAGGAGCTGGCATATCGGCAGAGACAGTACGTGTCCACACAACATAATCAATCAAAGACAAACGCAAGTAATTTTAAGAAAATTAAGGTTCATTATTCCATTTAGACAAGATAATATATTTTATAGAAAACTTGGTTTTGGTTCTTATTTATTATGGATTAATTTCAGTGTAAAATTAGTCACGAACCCTCAAAAGTTAGAAATCATTGGGAATCTGAGGGCATTGGACAGCAGTTTCGTCCTGGTTTTGAACTCATCATCAGTGCAAACCCAAAATTTTACTAAGGATCGAACCTGGTAACGGGGCCAAACCCACTGACTATTCATGCACTTGGAACAAAATTCATTCGCTTGTGAATTCCCACGACTATCACTTTATGAAGTGATGGTCATCCAAGGTATTGATTAGGGGTGACGCTATATCGTGGACTGATAGAAGTTAGATTCCACCAGCCGCTGAATTCTGTTCCAACTGGCTGATTGGTCGACGAGCATAGCCTCGTAACTTGAGGCTACGAGGTTCGATCCTTGGTAGAGTTGTGAGTGTGCACCATTAATGCATCTCAAACTAGAACGAAACAGCTATTCAGTGCTCCTTGATTTTCACTGATCTGTAAGTGGTGTCGGTTCGTGACGAAGTTTTCATCGGTTGCTTTTTCTTCAATTATCCAAATGAATCTGATATCCGATGGTGTTTAGCAGTTGAAGCAGATATTTAATGGCAGTTTCCTCACCACCGCTTGCATATACAAAACGTTCACTTAAATTTAATTCGCGCTAACTGCTTTATGAGTCAAATATCCACCTAACTACAATCGAACGGTTCGAATTTTAAAAGCGGAATATGGATGATATCTTTATCATCATCGTTGAAAATACCGATCTAAGCAAAATCCTGCAAATCTCCAACAACACCCATCAGTCAGTTGGATTCGAAATTGGAGTTAAACCAGAAGGTAAATTATCCTTCATACATGTCCAGCTTACTAGGCGATCAGATAGGAGCCCACAGAGATCAATCTACCACATACCAAATAGGAATGGACAGATGACAAACTATCTCACTTTTGTCCGAATGAGCAGAGAAAGAAATCTCTTCGTCTCTCTTGCAACGAGATTTCACCATATATGCACTAAAGACACATCGAATTAGGAGCTGGAATCCTTCAGAAAAACTATAATCGAAAGTGCATATCTGGCCTTCATCCATAAACATCTAAAGAGAAAGACTGATACTCCTCAAAACCTGAATGTTCCGAAGAATTAACTAGTTGTATAAGTGAAATTCAGTCAAGATACAATTAGTGAGGTTTTCCGAAAATGCATGTGTTATGATGCTAGATCTTTGTCTCGAGGTAACTGCTTAACTACTGACCAGTGCCCACTTAACTGGTAAAGCAGAACACGCGATAATCAGCGGTAAAACCAGAATCATTTATTTATGACAAAAGTGACTGTATTTATACAAAAATAAGGTAGACTGGAAATCAACCAATCCGGTTGAGAGTTTGGAATTGTGCAAGCGTCCAATCAGAAAGCAGAAACAAATGCATGTCAACGACATGATAATAACTTGATAATTGCATGTGTTTTGCCTCTTCCTAACACCTCCCCTTTTAAGATAGGGCTACCGGTAGCTTTTGTATCGCGGAATCACTTGTAGGTACTTTGGCGGTCTTGGTTGTCGTTGTGATCTCCTTGGCTGCTGGGACACTTTGCCTTTGTTTCGACTATTTTGGCCATGTGACGTTTTCGGATCCGTCGTATCTATCAATAGCTCAAATTGTACGTCGGCGGACTTGGAATCGTTCAACTGTTTACCAACTAGTCTATTTCTTATTTGATTGGCATGCCTGACCCAAATAAGGTCTCCAACCTTGACCTTGTAAATGACTTGGCCTTTTCTTCCAACGATCACTCCAGAAACCCATGGGCGATCTCTCCGTATGTAATCACGAACCAGTACCGACTGACCAACCATGAAACTTCTTTGCTTGGTGCCATGACGTCTATTGAACCAAAATTCACTATTTCGACCACATTTGCTCCGTCTTGATGGGATCGGGATAATTGTATCCAAAGTAGTACGTAATCTTCTTCCAAACATAACTTCTGCGGGAGATGTTTGATTTGGGCATGATGGGTTGGTTGTGGTTCGATAAATGAAGAGGAAATTGTGCAATACATCCTCTATCGATCCCTCCCCGTTTGACTTCTGAAGTGCGCGCTTGAGTGTATCAACAAAACGCTCTGCTTGTCCATTTGACTGAGGATGGTAAGGCGGGCTGCGAATATGCTGAACACCTAGCCGCTCACAAAACTGTTTGAATTGTTCAGCTGTAAACTGAGGTCCGTTATCGGAAACGATGATCTCTGGAACACCAAATCTGCTGAAAAGCTGAACCAACTTATTTAATGTTATCGTCACTGTGGTATTTTGCATAATGAAAACCTCCGGCCACTTGGAATACGCGTCGATTACCACGAGAAACTGTTTGCCATTGATTGGGCCGGCAAAATCTATGTGGATTCTTGACCACGGTTTTCCTGGGTTGGGCCACGGCTGTAGGTCTGTCTTGATAGGCATTTTCAAAGCCTGAGCACAGCGAGAACATGAGCGAACCATCGCTTCTAATTCACGATCGATATTTGGCCAGTAGACGTAACAGCGTGCCAACGATTTCATACGGCCAATACCAGGATGCGTAAAATGTAGTTGACTCATGACTTTTTGTTGGAGACTTCGAGGCACGACCACACGTTCGCCAAACATAATGCAGTCATTGACCAGGGATAACGAATGTCGTCGTTGATAGAACTGTTTTAAATCTGGACAATCAATACGCGAGGGCCAGCCACAACGCAGATACTGTTGAACTGACTGTAATGTCGGGTCACGCTGCGTCTCTCGTTGAACCATGTCGGCTGAGACAGGTAAAGTGTTTATTGCCGTCATCAATACGTGGCACACGTCTTCATCGACAGAAACGCCGGCGATCACAGCGTCCTCCTTTGCGGCTTTGTTCGGATGCATCAACATGTTGGTAGGACTATCTGAGCACTGTACATTGGAACAAACTGAGTTCAGTGGGACATCCCAGAGTTTCATCTTTTCGATCCAGTCAATACCAAGCAAGTTCAAATCATGACGATTGGTGATGTAGCATGTTCCTTGGAACGAGGTCGACCGGAAAGTTACGTCGCATTCAATCTGGCCAGATAATTTCATTACGTCACCCGACGCGTTTCTTGCAGTATGCTCCGTTCTCTGATAAGGTGGACACCCGAGTGCCCGCCACGTCTGGGGAGATATGATTGTGATATCAGAAGCAGTATCTAACTGTAGTCGAACTGGCTTCTGGTTGATAGAAAGTGTGACAAACTTTCTTTTTGACTCGAAGTCAACTTTGAAGGTAGCGAACATACTGCTGATTTGAGGTTTCGTCGACCGAGATCGAAACTTTCGTGACTGTGCCATCGTATTGTGAGATCGGATTGATCTAGGTTTCACTGGGGGACAAAATCCTTCTTTGTGACCATACTTGTTACAGATACTGCATTTATGTCTTTTATACGGGCAAAATTTACCAAAATGCCACGATCCACAAAACCAACAATTTGTGGGAGGCTTGTGTTTGACTTGCAGAG